ACCTGGGAGCTTGTTAAATGCACACTTCTGAATCAAAACCTCTATTTTCACAAGCTCTCTAGGTGATTCTGATATTCACTTAAAATTTGAGACATATTGATCTAGACCAGTGGTCTTCAAACTTCCTTTTCTGTCATAAGGACTTTCTATATGGGATAAAGAAGTTTGAGAGTCCAATTAGTAAAAGCATTTAGTGAATCTGGTTAATGAGTAAGTGTTGTGGCTTTAGTTGAAGTTCTCTTGCGTGCCCCTGGAGGGGAGTGTCTTGTGACTCCCTAGGCTCAACTGAGTTCAGTCTACACGTCAGTAATAGAGGTCTTCCCCTCTTTGACAGATGAGACCTCTGAGCTCTGAGAAGGGAAGGGATTTGTTTAAGTTTGCTAGATGATATTGCAATTCAGAATGTAGAAACTCATTCTGAGGCCAGGGCTTTTGTAGATCAGATAAATTTAATGCATGATCATTAATTCTAGAAAAGCAGTTACCGAAGGTTCTACTTAAGCATTATATTTGAAATAATTTTAGAAAGTAAGTTCCATAATTTCAGGAACACAAGGGTGCCTGGGTGGCTCAGTTGGTTAAGTGTCCAACTCTTGGTTTCAGCTCAGATGGTGATCTCAGGGTCATGAGATTGATCCCCATGTGGTGCTCCACTCTCAGCATGGAGCCTGCTTAATATTCTCTCTCCCTCTTCCTCTGTCCCTCCCCCCACCACACGTTCTCTTTCTCTCTCTCTCTCTCTCCCTCCCTCAAATAAATAAATCAATCCTTAAAAAAATTTTAAGAACACATATCCCATAAAATTAGATACTCCAGGATACTGAATTTTTTTAAGTCTCAAAAGAAAGACGTTTTTATTTTAGAATCTATTGTGTTAGCCAAAAAAGTAGGTAGAATATCTCTCCAGTTGATTAAAGATCTTTGATTTTGTATTTTTATTCATAAGGCACCAAAATAGGTTATAGGACTGTCCCAAGTGCCTAGCTTAGCTCAGATGTGGTCTGGAATTCTTATTTTATAGGTTGAATGTACTATATGCTGGGAATACTTAAGTGTGGCATGTGATTCCATGTTACAAATTAAGATTAAAAAAGAGCTGGTTTGTGCTTCGTGGCAATTTGGCATACTAAAATAGTTTGTATGGCTGAAGTGTAATGGTGCCTGCTCAGTTCTGTAGAAATTAGCTGTTTGACATCTGTTTTGAACCCCTCGTGTGTGCTAGAATTATATTTTCTCAAGGCATCACAGCCGAGGGCATAATAAATCCTTGATGAGAATTTCATGCTTCTAAAATGCTGGAGTATGACTTGGTTTATATACCCCAGTCAGGTTCTCTCTTTATTCTTGCTTTTTGGGAAAAGGCAGCTGTTGGACTTTCATAGATTTTGCTTAAACTCATCACAATCATGACTTGATTTGTTGGAGATTCAAATCCCAGAGTGGCAAATGTAGTGAGTATATTTGACTTGCTACCTGCTTGTTGGCTGGCTTATTGCTAAACCCCTTGACACAAAAGCAACAACTTTAACCTCGAAGAAAGCCATGGATTTGTGTAGGAGCTTCCCACCACAGCCCTTCCTGCCTCCCACAGCACCATGTTTGTGTGGTTAAGCTTTCTGCCCTACAGATTCCCCTTTTGCCCTGTAGACCTCGTTTGGCTCTGCATCACTTCAGGTCAGCTGATAAAGAGACCAGCTTCCTCGATTACTTGGGTGGCATGTGGAATCTCAAGGAATCTCAGCCTCAAGCAGCCCAGTGCTGTTTAAGTGTCCAGTGTGCTCCTATAATATGTCCATAGACGCAGAAGAAGAGTTTGAGATTAAACGGTGGTGAAGTTCTACTTCAGTGAGTGAATGACTGTACTCTAAGAGTGATCGATGTGACCATGGAGGGAAATGATCAACGCAGAGGTTCCCAGATTCTCTGCATTCACCATGCCCTAGTGTCTCCGTAGTTCCTCAGCAAAGCCCATAGGCCAAGAAAGAACACCAAACAGTTATAACTGTTAGGAAGGGAGGATCAAACAATTTAAGAAGTATTTATGTCCTAACGACTTAGCAGACATTTGAAACACTAATGCACATAGCTGGAAAGAAATAATACTTTCTTTCATCCTTAAATAACCATAATCGCTTGCCAGTGCTATGATATGCACACCTGTTGTGCTTCGTACACCTTCTCAAACCTTGGAGAAAGCATGAATGCTGCATCCCTCATTTCCTGTTCTACGTTGATTTTTCACAAGCTATTTGCTTTTTATCACAGCAGCCATGAAAACTCAGCTTCACAAAGATATGTCATAAAAAGGAATGTAGCAGGGTGCCGGGGTGGCTCAGTTGGTTAAGCATCTGACTCTTGATTTCGGCTCCAGTCGTGATCCCAAGGGTCATGAAATTGAGGCCCGTGTTGGGGGGCGGGGTGTCCATGCTCAGCGGGGAGTCTGCTTGAGATTCTCTCTCTCCATCTTCCTCTGCCCCTCCCCTGTGTGCATTCACTCTCTCTCAAATAAATACATAAAATCTTATAAAAAAGGAATGTGGCATGATCTAATATCAAAGCTGTGAGCTACTTCAAGCTAGTATGTCGTACTACTATCTGAGAGATGTTGCTGTCTTTTCCTTGAAAATCAATAATTTCCCACTGCAGCACCCCAGAATACTTAACAGGGGATCATGGGTTAGATGGTATGCAGCTCTCAGACATGTACAGTTTTCTTTTTCCAGCAACCAAAGTTTTGCAGGTGGGGGAGGAGATAACATTTGTTTCACACTGGCAAGTTAACATAATGATTTCACATAAATATATCAACCATCTCATGAGGTGGTTGGCTCTCATTTTCCCATTTTTACTGATGGAAAGACAAGAACTCAGAATTATTTCCGCTGTTTAAATAGTATAGGGAACAGGAGAAGGTTATGCTCACTAATTTAACTTCGAATCCTACATTGTTTTCTCCATACCATATTTGATCTCTGCTTCTATTGCGCTTAGAGATGAAACAGGAAATCACATTTGTGTAGCAGATGAGAATTGTGAGAGCTGTGTCTGCCAATCAGGAGTTTAAAGAGAGAGGAATGTCAAGGTCAGCCCTGGGCTCCAAGTAGTCCTTGCACAAATGTGGAAGGAAGAGCTACAGCTTATATCCTTGTCCATGAAAATTGCTTACATTTAGGTGCCTGGAGGGTCAGTGTTGGAGAGAGTAAAGCTTCCAGTGATTTCATGTTAGGATATATATATATATATATATATATATATATATATATATATATATATATTATCGTAGGTCTAGTAATCTGCTCCGGGGAGATAGTGATTTTGTTCTGCTCTGCTTGTAGCTGTCTGAAAGATCATACGTGGAAGTTATTTGTAAATTCTGAAGCATGCCTGTTAAATCATGGGTGAAGAATCTGGGACTGTTTAGCTAGCAGACACTGAACTTTGGGAGGAAGGATGTGATAGGTATCTTTGTAGTTCAGCCTTCCTAATATTTGAAAGAGGAGTTATACTTGTTCTAGTCTAACCCAGAGGACAGAGTTAGTGTTTTGAAGTATGCATAGCTTATCAACCACAAAAAAGTAATAATAATTTTTAGTGGTTGCAGTTGCCCTGGGAGGCAGTAAATTCCCATTATTGAAAAGCACTGTGAAAATGATAAAAGAGATAGTAGATCATACAACCTGGGTCCTATAGGCCTTTCAACCTGTAGATTCTGTTTTTCTAACTTGCTAATTTTCATTTCATTGAGCAAAGACTTTCAGAGTAACTGTGCTTTAAATCCAGTTTGCTGTCTCCCCAAACACAGATAGGTCTCTGTGTTGGTAAAATTAAATGTGTACATTTTAAGTTTTTTGTTGGAAACTGATGTTTTGAAGGTCAGAGGCCATATGAGAGGTCCTAGTTCTACTGAGAAAGCCTTTAAGTGTTTATTCTAGTTTACAAGTACAGTACATATGTGGGTGCAGCCAGTGTATCTCTGGGAAACCTGGACAGGCATTTTACTGTGTGTGTGTGTGTGCACGCACATGCATGTAGTGTATGTGCGCGTGTGTGTTTTAGTCATTCAGAAGGAGTTTACCTGTCAATTTCCCAAAGTAACTATCAGCTCACCATTTCGGAATTTAAAATAAATCAGTCCTGAGGTACTAGTAGTTTTCTCAAGTCATTGTATTATCTGGTCTTATACTCTGAACAAAGACTTCATTATAATTAACATTGCTGTGCTTTAGACCCCATAGATTTATACTGGGTCTTCTTCCCAGATGACTTGAGGGCTTATGAAAAATAGCCCACATTCTTTCCTCCCTTGCAGAAACAGCCCCCCTTTGGCAAATGTAATCTTATCTTCCCCCTTTGGGCTGTGCTTCTGCACAGTTGAGCTTTGGTAGACCTTCTATCCCTGTGACACCCCCTGCCCCCTTCTTAAATCCTTCTGCTGTGGCTGCCCTTCAGACACTGCCTCCATTTCTGAGGTGGAAAAGGGGAAGACTTTCTTCTCTCTCACTCTGGTCCTCTTTCTGCACTTCTCAAGCCCCTGCCAATTTTCTTTCCCTTCTGTGAAAGCAGATTTTACAGAAAATTCCCTCGCCAGCCCTAGGTTGTATATGATGAACAGCAAAGCAAAAATGGGGTCTTTGCTAGTTTTCTGATTTATTCGGAAGACATTTCCTAAGACCTCTGTAACTAGCTTCCTTGCCTTTATCATTCACGGGGGCACATGTGCCCCTTAGGAGTTTGCATGTACGGTTCCCACTGGGCAGAGCGATTACAAACGGGCTGTGTTTTAAGTTAGTTTTGACTTGTGTATTTCATCTGTGAAGTTGGCAAATACTTGAAAGCCACAAGCTACTGTTTTCTGAAAGCTTCTTTGCACATGAGCATAAAATGTATGTATTGGATTTGGAAATTGTCCAATAACTGCCCTTTCAATGTAGCTAAATGTAGATTACAGCTGTTTCCTCTGGAAAGATGCATATAGTCATCATTTCTTTCTTCTCTTACAGGGTGTCTCCTCTGCAGAAGTCTGAGATAGTGGATGTGGTTAAGAAGCGGGTAAAGGCCATCACCCTTGCCATTGGGGATGGTGCCAACGACGTTGGGATGATCCAGACAGCTCACGTGGGTGTAGGAATCAGTGGGAATGAAGGCATGCAGGCGACCAACAACTCGGATTATGCCATTGCTCAGGTCAGAGGCATGGTTGACCAGCTGTCCCATCCTGTTGACAGAGGTGTCCACTGGGCATGAAGGTCTGATTGGTGCTTGACCTTCAGTCCAGCCCCAAGAACTCTGCCACCCTTTTGAGGTTGTGTCTAGACAAAACCACCAGAGTATTCAGATTTCCTGGTGGCCTTGATCTTGTACAGTTGAAAGGCCCTGTACTGCTGGTTGTTGTGGTGGTTTTGCTAGCTGTGAGGTTGGCCGAGCTTTCTGTCCTCCAGGCAGGGCGTCATTCCTGACAGATAGGTCTCTGATCCTGCTAAGATGGTCTCTCACCCTCAACTCCCACATCTGCTGCATGGGCTTTTCCTTGTGCCGTCCCGTGCTAAAGAATGGCTGTGTTCATTATATCTTTTCTTTACCATCCTGACCGCAGAATCTGTCCTCTTTTCAGAAGGTGCTAGAATACTCTCTCCTCAGGCATTCAAGGTCAGGGAAAGTGGTGGTTTACAATGGCTACCCTCTCTGTAGCCATAACCAGGGTGCGGTAGCCGTAACCCACGGTCAGTAGCAAACGTCCTCCTGCTATTAGGCCAAGATCAGCCCATTCCTTTCTGGATCAGATGTTGCATGCAAGGGTTCCTGGTGCACTTTGTAGTTACTGAACAGATGGCCTAAGGATGAAAGAATTGCCGACTCCTCAATGGTAGAAAGCCAAAAGTGAAGGAAAATAGCCAACCTCCTGACCTTAGGTGACATATCTAGATCATTTGGCCTGCTTGATTATCCAGAAAATCTAGACCTCATAATGGGCACTGATCGTTTCCTCCTGTCTACAGATTGCAGTATGTCATGATAAAATGTCTGCTCATATGGTGGTTAGCTAGGGTTTCCTCATGTCCTTCCAGTGCTTAGTCATTTGAAGAATGTGTTAACCTTAATCACATGAACACAGGTAGTAATGGCTTTTTATCCCTTCAAGCTGAGATCAGGGGCTGCGTATGAACTGTGAAAGAGCTTCCAACAACCCCAGGGCTGCAGGCTGGTCCTGTGCAGCTTTGGGGTCCACCTCCCCAGAGGGGGTTCTGCATTAGATCACCTCTCCGATTCCCTCCCAGCCGGTGGTTCTGCAAACACAGGGAGGAATTACAAAATCCTCATGGCTCCAGAAAGTACATGAAATCAATCTTGTTTCTCTGTTGATTTCAACTAAATCCTCAAGATAAATGCTAAAATAGGTAGGGGAAGGAATTCTGATTGTACAGGTGGGAACACTGGAGCTCCTTCACACTGGGTGACCAGCCTCAGGTCCGAGCATCCAGGGTCAGAGAACGCCAGACCTGTACGTGACCTTGGGGACCAGCCCCACACACCTGCCCATTCACTTTCCTGAGTCAACCACTCCGAGGCCTGTGGGACTCTCGCTTCCTGTAGTCTGTCAGCAGCTGTAGATGTTATACACCCCAGCATTATTAAATACTTGAGTTATAGCATCATGTGGCTGGAAGGGATCTTTAGAGGTTTCCTAGGAGTTCCAGGCAAATATTTGTCTGTCTTTTTCTTTAAAATGTCTGGGGAAGGGAGATTCCATGACCTGCTTTATTAAAACTGCATACTAATAGGCTGTGGAATCTGGAGCAATTGCTTTCTTCAAATTAAAAGCATCAAAAAAGCGTTCGGAGGAGGAGAGTTAGAGTTAGAGGTAGAGGTAGAGTTAGAGTTAGAGTTAGGGGTTTTCTTGCCCCACCGCTCTAATAGTGTTCACTGCCAGAGGAAGTGATGAGGGGCCGCACGTGTCTGTGGGTCTTCATTTCTGTCCGTGGTCCTGCCCACGATCAGGGAGAGGTCCTGTGGCTTCAGGGGAGCATTGCTCTTTGCCTTACACCTTCTCTACCCGACTTCAATTAGAAGCAAGAAAGGCCGCAATTTTACGTATCCTTTTGCCCCCAGTGAAATGATAAATGTCTCTGGTCGAAGTTAATATCTTGGGCTTTGTCTCTTTATTGCATGTGGATGAATACATTTTTGCTTGGGTTTTTGAGGCAGTGCCCTGGAAGGTTATATACGGAGGAAAAAACTAGCTCCCAGTCCTTGGGAAAAATGATGAAATGGGCAGAGCTCTGGTTGTACTTCTTCCCTGGTTGCCTGTGCTTTCGCCCACAGCACAGCCCCTGGGACTGCCAGCCGCCCGCTGATCTGCTGCCTTGCCCGTGGGCAACGTGCACCGGCCTAGGGCACAGCGCCTCTGGCCCAGCTGCCTCTTCTCCTCAGGGGGCGATCATTCCTGCCCCCTACCTTCTTAACATTTTTTGATCGACCTCCTGAAAATAGCATTTTGATTTAGATTATATGTATTTTTTTCCCCCTGAACACAAATCACTGTAGCGCTAACGTTGAGTCATTCCGGATGACTCCAGCAGATGTTCTGTGTGCCCACTGAAGTTTAACAGCAGGGGGTCTGGGTCAAATGCAAACTTCCTTTTTATTTGTTTAGCCAGTTATTTTATGATTCCCTATTCCCCTTTGGAAACCTTAATGAGCTTTTATGGAGAGTTTTATTTTTCCATATGCACCTACTCCTGCCATTTTGAAGTGGCCATATAGCTTTTGGAGTATGCAGTTGAGTGACATGCCTTACCCCCATCTCCTGGCTAGATCTCTCGTGAAATGTGATGTCATGTCAGATAAAGCTCCCTTCTTCAGGGCTAATGGAAATTATTACGTGGCTTCCTCCTGAAAGAAAATTACATTTCCAATCAGAGTTTTTTTTTTCTACTTATAGTTAAATTTAATTTCAGAAGTAATCAGAAATTAATAGGAAGTTTGCAATAGCAAAAGAATTTCTGAAGTTTATGGATGTTCTCAATACAGCCTGATTATCTCTTCTGGGAGAATGAGCCCGAGGACTGCCCTGTGACTTGGAACAGGGTAGGTTTTAGTTCAAGGCAACCAAGGGGCATTTCAGTGTGGTACGAGGCTAATCAATGTATAGAAATCGTGAATTCAAACAGGATCACCCCTAATGGTGCCTTCATGCCAGGGCACATCATAGTCCACAGAACAAAATAACAACAAAAAAACGCTCATTTTCCTCCCTCCAGCTCATCTTCACATTTTTGGGGACCTTTGTGAAGTAGGCCACAGAAAGCAGAGCCAGGCTAAGAGGAGGCTGAGGGGATGGGATTCAAGTGGGGCCCGAAGACCCCCCTGCCCCAAAGAGGATTCAGGGATTTTACTGAATACTGTTCAGTATTTCAGACTGCAAGATCTGTTCCATCACTGTCACCTTAGTATCAGTTAGCCACTTGTTGGTTTTTTGTTTTTCTTGACTGCATAGCACTCTAGCAAGAGGTACTCTGTACTAGTTGGAAGCAAAAAAGGAGAACAAAATGGGTGTGGCTGGTAAGGCTGTGTGTTTGCACCCGAGGGTCTCTGTGTCTCTGTGAATGTGCAGTTGCTTTTAACGTGCGGACTGACAGTGGAAATAGGTCATGTCTCTATGTGCATCCCTTTTTAAAAGAGGATACTGATGCACGAGTGTTCCTGTCCTTTGCTCCTGGTCACCATCAAATCGGATTGAATAGAAGCGTCTGGTTGCCACTGTGCTTTTCTTTTCTTCCAGTTCAAGAGGTCACCTTCTCTTAAGAGTTAAGACCCTAAAAAAGTATTTGTGTAAACAGAATTCACAAGAATAACAATGAGAGGTTCAAAGTGGCATTTGGGGAAAATATTAGCTATGTAGATTTAAGAGGAGAGGTTAGTTGTCCTCACCGGACCTGAAAGATCTACCTTTGGTTTCCAGAAGTGAATGGTTTTCTCAGGTTCTCTGCAGAATCTGGCTTCCTCGATGACCTTCTCTGTCCCTGAAGAACATTTGGTGACTTTTGTTCCTAAAGGATGGGCGCTCCTGAACTTTGCCATTGTTTCCCCCTCAGTTTTCCTACTTGGAGAAGCTGCTGCTGGTCCATGGCGCCTGGAGCTACAATCGGGTGACCAAGTGCATCCTGTACTGTTTCTATAAGAATGTGGTCCTCTACATTATTGAGGTGAGCCGGGCCAACTTTGTCCTTGGGGTGGGGGGGGCTTTTGCAGAGGGCATCTTCACATATTTAAGGTAATTGCAAGAAAGGATTTTGTTACTGTAAAATTAAAAGGTCCTGAATGGGACAGACTGGAATCTGTGACACACATAACCTCTGTGATATGGGGGACACCTCGCAGATTGAGGTCCTCATGCCAAGGAACCAATGTGGGGAGGCCTGGTGACTGTTGTCACTCACACCCTGCTCCTCCCAGGGGCTCAGAGCCTGGGCAGCAGATGCTCCCACGTTTCTTGGTGGGCACGGGGACGTTTCCAGGCAACCTGGTCATTCTTTTCTTTCCTGGAATGAAAGAGCTTGATTTCTTGCTCTATTTCTCATGGCATCTGCAAGTTACCCAAGCATTGATTCATTGCCTCTGGGATATTTGGATGATACTATTTAAATGGGAGAAGGTGTGGGAGTAAGTGGGGAGTGAACAAATAAGATAATTAAAAATATCTCCGGGAACTTCTTGAGTTGTCAAGCTGGTTTTCAGGATGTTGATTCAATTGCAAGCACATTTATTTTCCTTATTAGAGGGACCAGAGCAGGAGAGGGGTGGGCCCAGGAAAAAATGGAATGGGCACTTTCTGTTTGAACTCAGTGGGAGGACCAGCTGCCTCTTTCCTCCTTTTTAAGGACAGCTCTGCTGCAAAGGTGTGGCTTTTAAGGCCAATGTGACTAATAGATTTCCAAGTGTGTTGAGAAAAGAGGAAGCAGGTGGTCACTGTGGAGAAATAGAAAAGCAATGTTAATTGCATTTGGTGTTAATATCTCAGTCTGTTATGAGTTATTTTGTGTCTGATGTCTCAACTCTTGGCAGAAATAAGAACCAAGACATAGATCAATTTTATCTCATGTGGTCCCTTAAAATATGCAGCTCAGGGAATTTAACAAGTGGTTTGCTAATGTAACCATGACTAAACATTTCTTTACCCAGTTGTCTACTCTATCCTATTGAATATTCAGGTGAAACATAAAGGTTCACATTATTGAGTTTGTAACAAAACTACTAATGAATAGTTTTCCTGAGTTTTGCAAGTTGTACATTGTACTAATTTGCACAAAGGGCGTCCTACTTGCCTTGTCTGCTCATGCTATGATACTCAACTCAGTCCGCTCCAAGTAAGAACTTCTAGATGTTACATGTAACGGATTTTATAGTTTCTATCTTCCTCCTGTCTGCATTTTTACAATTTTTTCTCTTTTTTTGGCACTTAAATATGTTTGTCCTTCTGTTTCTGTGGCTTTTTTTGCCCCCCTCTGTGATAGCAGTCACTCCTGAATGTCACTTGGGGTCATAGATAATCAGTGCTGTGGACTCAAGGAGTGTGGGAATCCCTGCTTCCACATGCCATCCCAAGTCCCACATGCATTTTCAGCTCTTACTGTAGGGTTGGCTTCACAGGATTTCTTAATAATCTGGTTTTCCTCAAAATCAGCAAACTACAGATAGTCTAGACTTCTTATCAAGACATTTTACATGAAGCTCCGACCCCTTTAGCTTTCCAGAGCTTCCTCCGGGGCCCTCCTTCATCATTTACACTTCCTATCTTGCTCCCCCCTTTTTTTAAACTTCAAGAGGGCTAAGGATGAGAAGAGTACAATTTTTGTCTGTCTGGAAAATTCCATTTGGAATGAGGCCCTGAAAATGCCATGTGAGTTCCTTAGTTTTTCAGTTGTAGCTGAACCACAGCTGTACATGGTCTTTTGTAAACAGCCTTTAAAAACATTCCTGATAAAATTTAAAAAATTAAGTAAAGTCTCCACCACTCTGGTCTCAGTCTTCTACTTAGTATTTCAAGGAGATTTAATTTGAAAATCAAGAAAAAACAAAATCTTCAACTGAGCCCAGAAAGAGCATTGACTCAGTGACTGCCCAACCTCTGTGGCATCAACATGTACTTCAAATATAACTTTAAAAACAGGAAAGTTCTACCTGGATGGTATTTTAGTGTGTTTTGAACCAAAAGATCAAAGATTGTTATAATTTGATTTGCTCCTTTGCAATGAATAGTTTTGTACTCTAAAGGTTACCTTGTAACTAATTGAGAATAAATTGTATTCTTATTTTTTTTAAGATTTTTTATTTATTCATTTGAGACAGAGAGAGAGAGAGAGAGAGAGAGCATGAGCAGCGGGAGAGGCAGAGGGAGAAGGAGAAGCAGGCTCCCCACTGAGCCAGGAGCCCGATGTGGGGCTTGATCCCAGGACCCTGGGATCATGACCCGAGCCGAAGGCAGACGCTCAACCATCTGAGCCTCCCAGGTGCCCCTAAGTTGTATTCTTAAATGGTTTTCTTGTAACTCAAGGAGAAACCCTTTGCAAAAGCCAGTATGTCCTCATCTCAAATGTCCTCTGATTAGGTAACTATTGGTCATTTACAAATGCAGTCTAAGAGCAGTTTGGCAGATTAAAAAAAGATGCACAAGTGGGCGTGTGCACACACATACTAATAGCGTCTTGGCCATTATTATGAGGATCATTATGATTTGAATAACCAGTAAAGATTGTATGGAAGACCTATGAGCCCGTAACTAATACAATCTACTCACTTGGTACACTGACCTATAAAACTTGAGTTTTCTGTGGAAGGAATACGTGGCTCTATCCTCACTGCAATACGGAAGGCCAACTGAAAGCTCCCTCTACTCTCATCCCCAAGCCCCCTTAGGTATATTCTTTTATGACCTTTTCCTGTGTTTATAGAGCCGTTTACATATACAAACAAATCAATGTTTTTACATAAATGTCCTCATACTTTGTAATATGTTCTGCAGTTGATGTGATACTTACCAGTGTAGTTGGGGGATCATCCCCGTGACTACATATGGGTTCATTGCCTGGTGTTTCACAGTATGTTTTCTTACAATCTATTTAACTATTCCTATATTGATAAATGTTCAAGTCATCTCCCTTTTTACCCACAAAGAGCCTTGTGGAGTAATAGTTGTCCCTCTAAGCAGCCATAATTATTCTACCAAAATGACAGTGATCTAATGCAAGCATTACTACCACAGTGCCTTGAATATAACACATGATCAGATTTATGTATTATTATCTGTACCTCGCGTTCCTTGTTGCTGACTGACCTTCATGCTATTTGATGTGTCACATAAAATTTATTCAGGCTGAAGTAGCCATTGGTTCAAGTGATTAAAAATTAGAACAAAATGATGGAATCTGTGATTTCGTGGTCACCCTATCAATAGGCAAAACGAAAAATACATAAACCTTGGCTCTCCATTCCCTCCACTGCTGCCTTAATCTAGTACTTCTTATCTGCTTGATAGGAAAGACCACTAGCTTTGCCCCATCAACCATCCATAATGCAACTGGGATGAGCTTCCTGAACACTCATGTGATTAATTCCAGTGGCTGGCAGCTTCTGGAACTAGGTGCTCAATAATGTTGGCAGTGAGTGCCACCATCCTCCTAGGACTCTTCAAGGTTCCTGTGGCTCCTGATGAAATCCCTGTGTCCCCCTTCATGCCCCTGCCCCTCGTGGTCTGGATCCCGACTGTCACCAGCCTCATCTCCCACTGCATCCCTCCTCATTTCTGTTTTTAATCAGTGCTATTGAAGTACAATTAATACACAGTTAGATACACCTTTATTAGGCCTAGAGTTCTATAAATTAAAGCTGGATTTTATAATTAGAAACTAACTGGCAGTTTTCTGCCTGCCTCCCAAAAATGACAAGAATGTCACAAAGAGTTTCTGGGGACGGGTAACACAGATGGTTGCCCAACAGTGTGAATGTACACTTAAAAATGATTAGGATGGTAAACTTTATGTTGTGTGTATTTTACCACAATAAAAAAAATGCTAAAAACATTTTAAAAAGAGTATCACAAGCACTTTGGGGCTTTAGTCACGTGGAGGGAAACAAAAATGTGTAGCCAGACCATATGCTTTGGAGATCTCACTGAAGGTTTGAAAAATAAACTTCACATGTAGTTTTGTTTTGTATTAGTGATTAAATGCTATGTTTTGTGGCTGTGACCAGATAGACCATATTTCTCAGAAGGTAAAATTCTTTTGTGGGCTAGACCATGCATAATGTCATAGCCTGTGGGGTGGATGGGGTCAGCCAGTTAGAGGGGGTACATTCCTGGTGTGTCCGAGGTGGGAGGCAGGAAAAGGAATAAAATTAGTGAAGGCAAGGAGATAGGGCTGGAAGGAATATGTAAGTGGCCGAGGAAGGGGATCTAAATAACTAGATGTTGCTATTGGAAGCTGGGAATCCTTTTTCATTCTGGAATAGGCAAGTGACACAGTAAAAGCAATTTCAGAAAATGTGTATGTCAGTATGTAGGACAGATGGTAAGCATAGACCTTTAATGTAATTTTGTAGTTTTAACCTGGGGTATAAATCATGACCATTATGTAACCATTTCCCAGCATAATTTATATTCAGAAAGGAATGACTGATTTTTAAAAACTCTTTGATTTTGACAATGGGAGGAATTTACCTTAAATGTAAAGATTGGAAAAATATTCTTACACATTTTTGAGGTCCTCATGTGACTGCTCTGTGATAATGCCCAAAGAGAGAGGGTCAATTAAATTCTTTAAAGTTCCTACGCTATTTAACAAACTAGGCATTTGTTATTCAGAATTTCCTGAATAGAGTACAAAGCATAATAAAGAGTTTCAAAGTATAACAGCCTCAGCATGTTAAGCATTTACTAGGTGTGCGTTTGTCCACAGACTTTCTGTGCCCCTAGGAAAAGGTTATTTGGAATGGAAAAAATTTTTAGTGATAATAAAATGCAAATAGGAAAACAATAGGGAAGTTACTTGAATTTAACGTGCATTTCAAAAAATTATGATACACATCCCTTATGAACTTTGGTATAACGTGAAGAAAAGACACCAAATCATCTTTGAAACAGAGACGAGACTTTGAAATTTTCATGATGATTCATTGGTGGCTCCTAGTTTAGAGAATAACGATAACA